ATATATAATTTTTATTATTTCATAATGTTATTATTTAATCAAATATTTATTTTTTAGCTTGATCTCAAAGAGCGATTATTGCGTGCGGAGAGCGCACACAGCTCCACACGCAATAATTAGACGATCCAAAAACTTGCACATAAACATTAAAGTGTTTGTCGTGTCTGGACATTATTATTTAAAATTTTGGCACGGCAGGTATTGTCGATTTTTAACAATTTTTTTTTTAAATGTTAAAATCTCAAAATCAAAATTTCTAATATTGATTTTTTAAAAAAACTGTCTATTTTCTTGCTCATCTACTTCCACAACAACTTAAAAATACTACATAAATCAATAGAAATAAAAAACTATAGTTCCATATTTAAAAATATCATTTATAAATATTATTGATTCTTGTGCTATCCATATAGTTCCCCCTCAAATTTATACAATGTGCATGGTGCCTTTAGACAAATTGTTTGAAAGTTAAGAAGGCATAAATATTTAAGAAACTTAACTTTTTACATTTATATCACATAAAAATAATAATATTTTATTTTTTTAAATAAATTTTTTTCATAAAGTTAAGCCCAAAGTATAATATGCATGATGAAGAAAAATTAAACCCCGAATCACTATGCTATGGATAAGTACTCATAAATAAAGCGGCTTGTTTATCAAAATTAAAAGTTTGTTTGCAATATGCAAATACGTAGAAATAGAGTGATATATGTGTAAATCTTTCTATTGTTTATTACCATCTTCCCTAAAAGTTGATTGAAACGGCTGTAAGCAGTCAGTCTTAGCAGCTTGATTACCTGTTAATTTGTATTCAACTTAAATGTTTTCTATATATATTACTTAGAAATTCCCAACATCTCCTTGTTTTGTTACAATCTCCCCTAAAAGTTGTTTGAAACGGCTGTAAGCAGTCAGTCTTAGCAGCTTGATTACATGTTAATTTGTATTGAACTTAAATGTTTTCTATATATATTATTTAGAAATTCCCAACATCTCCTTGTTTTGTTACTCTTTGGGCTGGCGCATTTTTTAATATAGAAAATAAAGTCATTACCAAGATATGTCGTCGAGATTTTAGTGCTTTTTTTAGTACTCTTTATTATTCTTTTCTTATTTTTTTTCGTTCCCTTATATAAAAGTTCCGTTTTTTATTCATACTGTGCTTTCTTCACTCACATATAGTGAGAGTTGTGCGAGGGTGCTGCGGCTAAAGGGAAGGAGAAGGGTAGTTCTATAGAAGGAAATAGAGTAAAGATTTGATTTTTTTTTTTTTGTCTGTTCTTCTCAACTTCTAACCTTGTTTGTGATTCATTCTTTGCATTAAAGTAGTTCCTGGAGTTGTTTTTTTGACAAAAGTTTCGATTTTTTTAACTTTTGTTAGGGATTTCTTCCAGAACGTGTTTGAAAATTTTCGCTAGATTTTCACTCACTGATGATACATGTTTATAGCATCGACACTTCTGCCAATTTTTTTTTTTTCGTTATCTTCTCTGAAATGATTCCCCTATTTTCATTGCTTAAGCAAAGCGCCCTTTCGTTTTTTGTTTTCAGTTCCTCGTTTTTTTTTCTCCCATTGATGATTTTCACAGAAACTACTGAATAATGGAGATTGGGAAATACACACAAGGTATACTTCAAAGAATTCAGAAAATAGAACCAGATAACGCGATCAAAATTTTTGGCTATCTTCTGTTGCATCACAATAATGATGAAATAGTTGACTACTTGTCTGGAACTGAAGAGCAGATTCATTCTCTCATCGCCGAGGCAAAGTCTTATTTCATGTTTTCTTCCAAATTCAAATTCCCACATTATTTAAATCCATACTATAGCCACGCCACTCCCCTTCCATTCTTTGCTCCTCCAAGCATTAGAAACTTGGATCATTTTCCTCATAAAGATGCTTGTTTCATGGAAGAGCAGCTATACACCTTGAGACCCATGGGTGTTGATCTGCCTCACAATCTCAGCATTCCTGGGGTCTCATTTGGCTCACTGAGTCATTCACTGCCGAGTTGCAGAGAGTTCCCCATTGAAGATCATAAGTTCGCTCCGGGTTTGCTTGAGAATTATGAGTTGAAGATTGCGACGCTCCTGAGAGCGCGAAGGGGTGTACCTGTTTCTGTATCTTTATTGCCTTTGTTGTACCAAGAGATGTATGGGAAAGCACTTCTGACAGAAGGTTATCTCAGACCTGGAAAAGTTGGCGCAAGCTTAATGAAGCTTCTTGCACTATTAAGAAACATTAGGCTTGTAGATGGGTACTCTTTATTTGTTATTTCCTTTATTTAAAAATAGGGAAATTTACATAAATTTCACACAATTCCTATGTATTTACATATATAACATCCGAACTTTCATATTTATATTTATAATACTTTGATGTGATAAACCTATGCTTGAAAATGTGTATTCTACTTTTAAAAAGTAGGTTGTAGTGTTTTTATTTATTTTTTTTAATTTGATATTAAAGATTTGAGGGCTGTCCATGTAAATGTTACAGTTTGGGTTTTAGATGAGTAAATACATGAGAATTGTGTGGTGTGTATGTAAATACACCTTAAAATTTATTTATGCAAAAGGCATGAATTTATTGTTTCAAAAACTCATTTGATTGTGTTGTAATTGCAGACCTCATGGGGATCATTGGGTGGTACTAGATGAGGATGCTTCTAATTATATGGAATTTATGACTGAAAGAAATGATCTTGGAAATTCTAGTTCTCATCAGATTTATCTTACTTTCCTTGCTGACAGCACATTTACTGATATTGATGTTCAGAATTATTTCAGGTGATTTTTCTTTTTCTTTGGTTTGTTCTCCTCAATTGGGATTTCTAAATCCACGCATTTACATCCATACCACACAATTCTCCTGTATTTACATATTAATGTCTATACATTGATTTTGTTAATTTACAACACTCAAACCTTTCATATCACATAAAAAATACCGCCACCACTACCTTTTAAAAAGTGAAATATACCTTTTCATTCATAGATGAAGTGCTTTGAATGTAAAAAATTAAACTTTAGGTGATAAATACGGATATACATTGGAATAGTATGGTGTGTATGTAAATATTTATACAAAATTTTGTTCTGACTCTTTGTATTAAACTACAATGTTTTGTTTTGATCTAGTCAATTTGGTCCTGTTCATGATGTGAGGATCCCGCACCAAGCGAAACGGATGTTTGGTTTTGTGAGCTTCTATCATTCTCAAACCGTCAGACAAATTTTAGAGATGGGACATCCCCATAACATTTGTGGTTCTCGTGTTCTTGTCAAACCTTATATAGAAAAATCAAGATTAGTTCAGAGGTATCTTATATTTTATTTTCCGCCGATATTGAGGCACGTTCAATTTATTGCAGCATTAGAAGATTGCACTGTTTATTGTTCTTTGCTATGTTCTTTTGTCTATGCTTTCTCCCATTAATACATGTAGCATTTTGTTTTTTTAAGTAAACTTTCTTGTATGAAATTTGTGCTGTAGTCTCACATTGTTTAAAGTTTGTAACTAGATTTTTTTTTTCAGCCTCCTTTTTTCTTAAAATTGTTTCTAAAAGCTACTTTTTAATCACAATTTGATAATTTGGGACATGTTTCTTAGAAATGTAACTGAAGGATGTTTCTAAATATTACAGCCACACTAGAAATAGCCATAATTCATGAAAATATGTGGTTGAAAGTGAAAATTGTGATAAAAAACTTGTTAGAGTATTACAATATAACACTGTAATATCAATTTGATGTTTTCAAATCTTCCAAAACAGGGCAGTCAAGGTATAACAAAGATTCCTTAGTTTTTAGATAATCTCTCAAATATCAAAGAGCTTGTGTTGCAATATAAGCTTTGTTGGAGTATTTCTATTTTGCTTTTCAATTTTTTTATTAAAGAATGCAATAAAATATTCTTATTGGCTTGACGCTCTTTGATAACTTTGTTATGAATGAGAAGAAAGCATAAGCACTTTATTAGAATCATGTTATTTAAGCACGTATGTATGTGTAAAATACCAAATTATTTTGTGCTCACATTAGAGAAATTTCAATTACAAATAAGAAAAATAAATACTGAAAAGTAAATTTTATGGCATTAATAGTGTTCATAATAATAATAATACGATGAAGCAAAAACAATAACTCAGCTCACAAGCCACTTTTCAAGTCAAGCCCAAGCCGGCTTACGAGTCGGCTTGGCTCACTTACACCCCTAGATTCATTGAATTCTGATGATTTTTAATAGGGTTATGATTTTGTGAGCTTATTGGCCCCATTAATCAATATACGTAAGGACCGACTTGCACATCACTGCACATAGCATATATTTTTTATACATTATAACCGTGTATTTAATGAATATTTTATAAACAAAATAATCAATGCTATGTACATATCAAAACATGAGTTGTGGAAAAAAAAATATTTCATTCAATAGAAGTAAAATGTATGAAAAATCTATCTTATTACTAGAAGAATCAATTCAATTCATAAGAATGTAGTAATAAAGTAAAGTAAAATTATTTAAGCAATTTGCAATTTCATTATGAACATAAAAAATAATCAAAGGCATAACACAGTCAAATAACAATATAAGACTTACAATAACCCACAAATATCTGGGAACGTATTACAAAACAATAAGTATAGCACTCCTTCTGACAAATAAAATTTATATATCTCAAAGTTGGCAGTGCGGAATTTTAAATTTTGTTTTGATGACCAATGATGCTATGTAGAATTCAACTAAAGGATCCTAGACAATATGACGCTCCATTAAATAAACACAAATAAAACATAATAAAATTAATAGATGGCTAAAGTGGGTGCAACTTTGTCAGGTTATCCCATAACCAAGTCGGATAAGCTAATATTAATGTGGAATAAAACTATACTAACCATATAATTTATCCTAAACTGAGTTACATTAAACTTAAATCTGATATTGAAAATAACTTATAACTTGGATTAATCTATGCTTATGAATTAAATAGAGAAAGATGGAAAGAAATATGAGGTTATTTACAAGCTTACAAACCTTCCAATTTTTGATAAAGGCAAGCACGGTGAACAATTGTGAGGGAAAAATCGATCCCTTTAAGGGAATTTTGTTTGAACAATAAATTTGATAAGAAATCAACAAAGGCGAAAATGATGGAGGCGAAGGTGAGGGGAAGAGAGGTATATCATAGTTGAAGGAAAAAGAGGAGGACAAAGCTTTTGGTTGGCTGCTTCAAGGACGAAAAAAGAGGGAGTTTCTTTGTTGTTGGCTTTTGGTTGGAGAAGGAAGGAGGCGAGGCAGATGCTTCTTGTTTCTCAATTTTTTGGTCGTGTATGAAAGTGGAAGGGTTGAGAGAGGTTAGTAGGGTTTGGCGACTATGATAGGGTAAAGGATGCGATGCCTTGTCCTTTGATTGTTTTTTTAAAATGTGAGTGAAATTGGTGAAGAGCACAATATGCATTAACAAGAAAAGTGTCAAAATTGTGCCCGACTCTTTATAGAGGTGCTATTTTACTCTAAGAGTCTATAAAAATGTCCATTTATCCCCATATACTTTTAATGAACGGGTACCATTTTAACCCGTATTAAAACAGTATGGGGACTAACTTGACAATTTTATAGATTCTGGGACTAAAATGACCTTATCAAAACAATTAGATGACTATCTTGGCACTTTAATTTGCATTGATTGAGCGGGCTTGGGAGGTTTGAGTGAATAGTGCAATCTCGATCACATGACAAGACGGAGAAGGAGCTCGTGGTTGGGGCAGTTCCAGTTTGCCTTACAACGTTTTATGGTTTGTTACACGATGTAAATTCCCAGAGCTTATTAGTCTCATGAAGATTATTCTTGATTGGTGTTGCTTCTGTGAATTCTCAAATATATAAATTCTATATTCTATTATTTCTAATTCACGCTTCCATTTTAGTCTTATTTGTATTCCACACCTATTTGATGTTACTAATCTGAATTATCATTCTTCAAATCTTCTTGTTAACTCTTTTCAACTCTCTATTTGAGGTGTATTATAGCATTAAGTAGCTTATTGCAGCATCTTTCTTATCGCCAAAATTTGTTTCAGGAAATATGCTGAGAAATTGAATGATGATTTGCATTCCCCATCTCTTTCTTTTGATTTGGAAAATGGTCTTAGTCCAAGTGAGTCAGTTCTAAAATTATTCATAATTAATGTTTTAGTTTGCTTGTTTCCATGATTTTAGAGCATTAATCGGCTTAAAAAAATTGTTTAAAAACTCTGCATTTTTTTAGGACAAAATTCTATTGAAGCTTCCCAGTTTCATAAGAAGCAGCAGATTGGGTTGGAGGAGCCAAACCTTTTACACGGTATTGTAATTAACTTTAGATATTTAATACTTGGAAAATTTACATGTGTACCCCAAAGTTCTTATGTATTTACATTTCTAACATTCAAAGTTTGATACTTAATATTTATAACACTTTGCTGGCACAACCTATTCATGAAAATATGTATTTTAGTTTTAAAAAAGGTAGTATGGGGGACATTTACACATTACATAGCACACAATTCCTTTGTATTTACATATCTCATACCTAAACTTTCATATTTACGCACATAGAACTCAAATCTTTAATATCACATAAAAATAGCATTATTACAACTTTAATACACCTTTTCATGCATAGGTTTAAAGCACCAATGTGCTGTGTATGTAAATATGAAAGTTTAGGTATGAGATATATAAAGACATAAGAATTCTGCGCTAAATATGTAAATTTCCCATTTTTTTAAGGTGGCAGTAAAGATCTGAGTGCTGTGCATGTAAATATGAAATTTAGGTGTTAGATATGTATGTAAGAATTGTGTAGAATGTACTATCATAGTTTCACTTCATTTCATTAAAAGACTTAGTTTTATTTCCTTAATTCTTATTTCAGATCAATTTAGCTCTTTAAGCATTGCTTCACAAGAAGATACAATTGATGAAGATAAGAGCTGCAATAATCAGGACAGGTTAAAAGTCGATATTTTTATACCTAACATGAAATTCTCTTGGCAATATATTATTATTTTTTATTTGGGGCATTTACACACATACCACATAATTTTTATGTATTCATATTTACCGGCATACCACTTCAGATCTTTAACATCACATCAAAAGTATACCTTTTCATGCATAAGATTATGACACCATTGTGTTACAAGTGTAGAAATCAAACTGTGTGTTAGATATGTAAATATATAAGAATTGTGTGGTATGTGTGTAACTTGAATTTTTTTTTCCCCTTATATTTTATACTGTCTATTCGCAGTCTTATGATTCAACTGCCAGAGAACCCTTTTGCTTCACCCAGATTTTGATCTGACAAACTTTGAACTTTATAGAGAAAACCCACGGCAAAGTTTTATAGCCTTCAAAATACTAATACCAGCAGAAGGAAGTTTGACACGCAAATTTACAGAAAAAATACAGTATACTTTTGTGATGTTTAGGAGAGCTGACATTCTGCTATATTTGAATCTCTATAAACGATTTGTCTGACATTGTGCAAATTACTGAGTATGATTTATTTATATTTGAATCTCTATAAACGATTTGTCTGACATTTTGCAAATTACTGAGTATGATTTATTTGTGTCTTAGCATGCACGTACGAGCAACTTTTTCTGAGAAGAAATTATATAATACTAGAGAGTCCAATTCATTCTTTTATTTTTTTATTTGTTTTTGTTGAGAATCTAATTTTGTTGATGATGTGAGTATAATCTTGCCATAAAGCTTTATTCATTATATTGAAAGCTAATGTGATCATGAATGTTTTTTGTTTTTCTTAAT